TTTTCGTGCCAAATTTCGTGAAATTCTAATGAGTGGTTTTCGAGTAATAGGCGTATTTCCGAGAGTGCAATTTTCATTCAATCGCAATTTTTTGACTCAGTACGCATGCGCTGCATTTAACTGGGTTCTTTCGGTAACAAAGAAAAAGCTGAGAATTGCTGGGTTCTTTGCATCCTTACCTTTTCTAACATATCTTTCTAATAAAAGACTAAAGCCATCAATGCACTGGGTTCAATTATAGAGAAAAATAACGCAGATGGTGCAGGTGTTTAGTAAGTAAAATGATCGCTGTATTGACGGCATGTTTGTTTTTTTTGCAATCCTTGTGCGCGCGTTGAATTGCATCAGCAAAAGCGCGCGCGAAAACTGTGTTCGGCCACCTTACCTACGGTAACATACCCTGATTTTCGTCTAAAAGGTGCAGTGACCCCCGTGTTCTTACATTCAAACGATACAGCCGTCACCAAATACAAATTACACGAAGAGTTAGAAAAATCCCTGACACATGAATGCAGCATTTGAAAGAGTGGTCATCCTTCCCATTGACTTTAAACTGAAAATTTCATGATTTATTGAAAGCATCATTACACAATCCCGCCAATGCTGTAATGGATTGAATCTGGCTTAGTTTCGAATCGCTGAGAGCAGCCTGTGGCCATAACCAATGACAAGAGACAATGATCAAAGTTGAATAATCATCTCTTGCTAGTAGTGTTGATGGTGTCACCGTACTGTTGTTTTACTGATGGGAAAAGATAAAGTATTCTAAAATAATAATAATAATAATAATAATAATAATAATGATAATAATAATAATAATAATAATAATAATGGTCAAAGAGCTACAGAAGACCGTCCACCACCACCACCACCACTACTACTACTTTTATCATTTACAACCCTAGCAAGCCGTTATGTACACTGTATCTCAACCAGTGTCTCAGCTAGAGTTCGCTCCATGGAGGAAACCAAGAGCTTTAGAGCTACTTATATATTTTACACTGCACGGTACACCAAACGGATGGTTTTTTGTGCGAAATTAAAATATTTAATCACCCGTAATTTTCAGCTCGAAATGTACACTAAACACATTATGTGTCTTTTGGAGTGGGGTGGGGGAGGGAAATTAATCAAATGAAAGTTAACTAGCCAGTGAGTACAACCTAAGTTAAAAAACTAGTTCAAATCTTAGGTTTAGGTTAGTCTATGTAAGTGAACAGCAAGAAATCGACTGGCTATGATACGGAATAGATATTTCTCAAATTATTAATAATTCATCAACTTTACACACAGGCAATCATGAACATGACGGTGTTTGGATATATGATCTTAATTTGCATAAATTTTTACTATTTTATTTCTCGGTTTTCTCCTTAGTTTTAGTTTCGATTGAGAAGATATATCAAACACTCAAGAAAGTGTTTGACCACATTTCCAAACACAGTCTTTCGTGATTGATACTTTACTTCAAAGATCAGATTCGTTGAGTGCCCCTGGAGTGTGTCTACAAAGGTTGTTGAAACACAGCTGAAAACATTCATAAAATTTGAAGAATTCGCAGCGGCTGTGCTAACACGAGTCGTAAGCGCGTGTTTCCACAACTATTTCAATTTTCTGTGAGAGTAGATTCTGACAATGCTTATTATTACGTTGAGTTACGAGGCTACTAAGGCATAGAAGACAATATTGCCTGATAACTCAATAAGAAGAATTGTATCGAAACTCTCGAATACTTCTTTTACATTGTTTTGAATGTTAAACGTTAGAAAATATTCTTTAATAGTTATTCTGGGAGCTGTCTGTTTGTCTACCTTGCTCAAACCACTCGATCTGTCAATGGAAACAATATTATTTTTTCGCTTTCATATTTGCGTTTTATTAGATATAGGTGCAAGGTGTGATTTCAAACAGAACATGGTGCTTTGTTCATTGGGACAAATATTAGTTTAACAAGTTTCCTCCGGTGGAAATAGCAATATCTACCGGGGCATTTGTTTGTTCATGATTGAATTTCTTGAGTTCCGTTATGTTGACATGCATAGTACAGAATGCTTAAATAGCGTATGGTGCAGCGCAGTATTTCACCGTGCTTCTTTGGAAACAAAGTGACCATGGCTTTTAAACTGATCTTCGTCTTCGCAGTTATCGCGGTTTTTGCTGTTGATGCCCTGAAACTGAGCAAGTGTGGTATATAAGCCTTTTTCCTACTTTTGTTAAACGTTTATATCTAAGCTTCCGCAAATTCATAAAATTCATACCAAAGTGATAATTTTGTAATAGGATCGACGAAGTACTGCTTAGTTTTTTTATTTTTTAAGTACTAAATGTAAAAAAAAGAAACCTAAATTAGTTTTGGTATTATTGCACTGAGCTTTCATTGTTAAATATGTTTAAAAGCTCTGTTCAGTCCAACTTAATTTGGTCCAAAACATCCAACGATGTTTCATACGACTCATTCTGATGGTCAGAAACGTATCGTTATAACTCTAAAACATACCTTGATTTTGTAGAACAACACTCGACATATAATAGGAACCTAGTAGAAAGTGAAGACTGCCGACTATGACAAAGATGGAAATAATTTGTCACCATGTTAATGATGTAAACTGACAAAGTAACCAGGACTGAGTCCCTGAGGGAGGGGACTGCCATATAAAGAGGATAGGGGTGCTCGTCGGAATTTTGAAAAGAACCCTTTAGAGGTTCCAAGATCCTCTTTCTTGGGCGTGGCTTGAATTTTTTTTCACCCCTAAGAGTCACCAATTCTAAGACAACACATTATCTCCTGTCATACTTGTTTCGGCTCAATATCCTAAAAGGTAGCGCGAAAGCACCCGCTGTGGGTCTTTAAAGGCTGAACTCCCTAAGAGGTATTAACACCGCTTTTTAACCCCTAAAAGGTACGACGAGCACCCCCCCGTCCTTTTATATGGGAGTCACCCTCTCGGGGGGGTCTCTTTATCCGTGGTACTAGAAAATTAGGCTTTGTTGGTTAAAGCTCTGAGGTAAGATAAAAAAAGTGTAGCTACAACACGTGCATCTTCACCTATTTTCTAGCTAAAACCAACCAATGTGGGTTATTTATCAAGCGTGATGTCATGTAAAATTGGTAGAGTATTCACCAACTGTGTAGATTGGCTCGAGGTCCGTTCAGTAAAGAACTAGGACTGATAACAATAGTTATTCAAAGGCCTAGTCCCATGTTCATTAAAAAGTCAGTTTGTCTTCTCTTTATAGGCGGATCTAAAGCAAGCTGGATCAAACGTGTTGCTTTTGAAAAAGGGAAAGCCACGGTCCAATATGAAATCAAACAGATGAATCAGTTCAATCCGAACAAATATGTACTTACTTACGGCAAGAATGGGAGAGTAACGAGCGAGTAAGCACGTGTTGATGGTGAATTCCGATCTGAGCCTGCTATTCAGTTATTTAGATCTCTTGTGAACGAAGAAACGAACGGACAAACGGAACGAAGGAATGAATAATGAAGGAAGAAACGAACGAACGAACGAACGAACGAAAAAAAGTAAAAAGATTGCTAAGATAAAAATACTCATTTTCAAAGTATTAAAATTGTCTAGAATTTACAAATTGAATTAACTAAAATCTAAAACTAAAATACTTTTTGAATCGAAAAAATTAATGATCCCGCAATTTTATAACAGTCTCTAAAATGGAGGAAGTCAATATTAGCTGTGGCACCAGTGCATTGAATGTATTTGTGATGTACATGCTTCTTAATGGCTTATTTTTTTTCTGCCTTTTAATAAGGGTTAAAGGATGTAAAGGACTCAGTAAATGGTTGAGTGGAATTAATTGCAATCAAAAAGGGCAGCGCAAGCTCACATTTAAAGGAAATAATCGCCTCCAAAATGTAAGTGTGGTAACAAAATCGATCTCTGTCTGTTTTTAGAGTTTTCTTCAAATCCTCCAGTATTTTTTGTATTAAGCAATTAGATTATGAGCTTCTGATTTCTATCGCGTGATAGTTTACGAGAGTGCAGCTCGAGTCAACTATTACGCATAGAAATTGAGAGCGAATAATCTAATTGTTTTGGTAGAAATCTACTAGTCGTTCAAAACTTTATCTAAATCCTCTTCACAGACACTTCGAAAACGCCAGGAAGCGGCGTCATTTTGTTAACAAGGGCACACTGCTACGTTACTCACTATCTAATCTATTACAGAATAGATAGTGGGTAGCTAGCCAGTCAGAGAACGACATTTGTGATAGAACGCTAGTAGATTTCTACTAAAATCGTTTCGTAAATAATAGTTTACCGACGTATTAAAACAAAGAAGAGGACGCACACCCTTCTGAAAGGTAGCACCTGTCAGTTACCGTGGTTAAAAAAAAAGAATCATTATTTGCTTGGTTGAAATAGACAAAGAACAAAGCAGGGGGTACTACGTCGCTTTTTTAAATTGAGGGTAGGGTGAAGATGGCGAAGGGCTCAACAGATTAACAGATTCGGGAGGAGGTCAAAGGAAACAAGGAGCCAACAATGAAAGAATAACTTTTAGACTAGCCGAGGGTGCTTGATTTAATTGCATTTGCAGGTGTTTAATATATCTTCGTTGTATTTAGCGATGGCGTAGTGTGGCGGGGAGGGGGGAGGGGAGAGGGGGGGAGGGGTGGCTCCTGCAAAAATCTATATTTCGTGCCTCTCTAGCTCTAAAATAAACTGACAATTGGAACATTCATAGCGTTTGTATTCTGAGTAAGCCAGACGGANGGGGGGGAGGGGTGGCTCCTGCAAAAATCTATATTTCGTGCCTCTCTAGCTCTAAAATAAACTGACAATTGGAACATTCATAGCGTTTCTATTCTGAGTAAGCCAGACGGAATCGGGTTTTTTTCACGATGGTAATTTCTTGACGACGTAGAATGAGAAGCCAAAAGGTTCTTCGGTTGTTTGAGATATTTACCGCTTATTGTATTATGTTTTATTTCAGGTAAGATTCACGTTGAAGCTGTTTGGAAAGGGAGGCATGCTTGTATGCATTAAAAACGCTTGACAATAAAAAGTATGTGACGAGAAAAGGATGAGAAGTATTCTTGAAACGAGAGGAAGACAATAAAATCGTGAATGAAAAAGAATTGTTTGTGTCGTTTTTATCAGTCGTTAACAAATCTCTTTCTTCCTACTGCCATTATTTCTTTGGTTGGCCCTTTAATAGGGAGCTTTAGCAACGACGAAGCCTGGTCAAAATGGATTTATATTTTACCAGCAAAATTAGCAATTGTCAAGATCTGTTCAGTACGCCAATGGCTCTAAAAACGTGCTCAGGCTAAATACGCAATGACAACGTTTAATTCCAAACGGAAATACGAAAAATTAGTCGTCGTCGTTCGCGTTCCTCAAACTACGTAGAACTTGGTCATTTCACCCTTACCTTATTTAATACCAAACTCTGTGATTTTTCCTACTCTATTTATGACATACATACATATACGCACACATACACGCATACATACTAGTACATATATAAACTTTATTTTGCTTCAGGCTCAAAAGTAGCAAAACATTCGATACCTTTTTAAGACCTAAATCCTAAATCAGAGACCCCTGTTAAAGGCATTGTTAAGGGCTCTCGTTGATGTCAGTATCGATGACGATGATGAAAAAGTAGCTTATTTAAAAAAAAAACATACCCAATTCAAGACTAGGGTGCAAAACCACACACTATTTAATACCAAAATGGCCAAAATTGATGCCTTTTTCTGACCAAAACGACTAAATTTTCCATACCCTTTGGGGCCGCACATACCTTTATCGCCCATATAAGGGATTACCCCCCCTCCCCCCGGGAGAGGTTAGAAGGTAAGAAAAAGCCAAAACAATCAAATGCAGGCTAGTAAAGCGCGAGAGAACCTGAATTTCTGTTAGCAAACACCATGCAAGACTTCAAGGCATCATCCCCGCCAAACTACTTTAGAAACAAAAATGTGAAAAGAGAAATTTCTTTAACCAACCTTATTGAAAACCCGCTCGACTGTCATAATTTGTTGTCATTAAAAATCCACAGGCATGGGGATTAATTACGCGATTTTCGTCCAAAAGGAGCTGTGACCCCCGTGTTCTTATATTCAAACGATACATCCGTCATCAAATACGAATTACATGAAGAGTTAGGAAACCCCTGAAACAAATACGCAGCATTTGAAAGAGTGGTTATTCTTCCCATTGACGTTAAACTGAACATTTAATGATTTATTGTAAGCACCATTGAGCGATACACAGGTTTTGAAGCCATTTGACTGCTCAGAAACTGCTGGTATCTCCGCACGCTGGGAAAGATGGCTGCGAGCTTTTGAGTTGCTTGCAACGGGAAAAGATGTCAAAAATGTCGACCAGAAGAAGGCGCTACTGCTGCATACAGCTGGATTAGATGTTCAAGACATGTATTTTACGTTAGAAGAGGAAGGAGGGTCGGATAACTATCGGAAAGCGACGGCGACCTTGAATAAATATTTCAAACCGCAAGCAAATGCTCCATATGAAAGGCTTTGTTTTCGTGAAAGTAGTCAACTGGCCAACGAAACCGTCGAACAGTTCGTGACCAGATTGAGACAGAAAGCCAAAACATGTGAATTCGGAGATGCAAACGCTGTGGGGAAGCAAATTCGTGACCAAGTGATTAATAAGTGTTTGTCACACGAACTTCGTCGAAAGTTACTTCAGACGGGTCAAGCCTTGACTCTGCAACGGTTGAGAGAAATTGCCCGTGCTATGGAAGAATCTGAGAAACAGGCCTGTTCGATCGAAGGAGTAAGCAATGCGAGTAACGAGGTTAATAGTGTGGGTGGAAAGGTGGATCACAAAGAAGATGCGAGCACAAGGAATGTTAAATGCTTTTGTTGTGGAAATGTGGGACACAAAGCTAACGATCACCGATGCCCAGCTAAAGGGAAACAGTGCAGGAAATGTAATGGGACAGGACATTTTGAGGCTGTATGTAAAACAAAGAGGAAGCAAAATAGTGGCCGAGGCCGAGGAGCTGGAGGAATGCGTAGGGCAGGCAATAGAAGAAGTAGTGGTGGACACCATCATATAAGGCAAATAGAAGGCGAAGATCAGCAGAGTGATGGCTGTGAGTGTGCATTTGGCATATCAGATGATTCAAATGTTTCAAATGATGGCACAATTCCCGTGAAAATAGGAGGTTTGCCTGTAACCATGATTATTGATTCTGGTGCTAGTTGCAATGTCATTGGTCGTAATGTGTGGGAATCTTTGAAAGCCAATAAGGTTAAATGTGTGTCGAGCAAGGCTTCCAAGAAGTTGTATTCATATGGTGGTAATCAGCCACCACAAGTTGCTGGCACATTTACTGCAGAAGTTTCTGTTGGAGAGAGAGTGCTAAGTGAGGTTGAATTTGTTGTTATTGAAAATAAGGGACAGGCCCTTCTAGGGCGAGAAACGGCCATTGGTTTAGGAGTTCTAAAGCTGGGAACTCCAGTTCAAGTTAATTCACTTGAGGCATCAACTGATGGGGCTAAAGGGGCACCCAGTGTTTTAGAAAAATTTCCCGGATGCTGTGAAGGTACTGGCAAACTAAAGGATTTTCAGCCAAAGATTCCAATTGATCCAGAGGTGCAAGCCGTAGCACAACCCATTAGGAGAGTTCCTTACCACCTACGTTACAACCTAGACGAACTTGTCAAACTTGACATTATCGAGAAAGTGAGTGGACCAAGTTCGTGGGTATCACCAGTGGTAGTGGTGCCAAAGCCCTCAGGTGACTTCCGTTTGTGAGTAGATATGCGACAGGCCAACATCACAATAAAACGAGAACGTTACCCAATACCCACCATCGATGAAGTTTTGCAAGATTTGAACCAGAGCAAGTTCTTCAGCAAGCTGGACCTTAACTCTGCCCATCATCAAATAGAGTTATCACCTGAATCCAGAGATGTTACTACACTTGGTATACACCAAGGATTGTACCGGTACAAACGACTCATGTTCGGTATAAGTTGTGCACCTGAGATGTACCAGAAGGTACTTGGCCAAGTCCTGCAAGAGAGCGATGGAGTCCACAACATTCTTGATGATGCGATAGTTTTCATGCACCCACTGAAGAGGAACATGACAAGAGACTTGAGAATGTGGTCAGAGTATTGAGTAGCAAGGGGTTGACGTTAAACCGTGACAAGTGTCAATTCAGGATGTCACATTTGGTATTTATGGCTCATGTGTTGTCAGCGCGTGGGATTGGTCCAGCAGATGTTAAGAGTGATTTTCTGAGAGTGTTTTATTTCGCCAAAACATACCTTTGGGTGAGCTTATTCATGGAAAAATAGTTTAAACTTCCAACGATTTATTTTACGGCCAAAATTTAAGAAAGTTCGAAATTTGCATATAATGGCGGATTTCGCGGCTTACAATGTTCAGAATTTCACGCTTCTTTACGAAAACAGCGGGGACGTAAAAACAATCTTATGAAAACAACACTTGGCACAAATATTATTTCATTCTTATACTTTAAAATCGTCTAATAAGTTTCTTGAAGTTTTGTTTGTAGCTTTTTAACGAAGGGTATTTGTACAGCCGCCATTTGTGTCTCTTGGCAAGGAACAAATAAAGGCCAACTTTGACTAGTATAAATGGCCTCTGGTATATATCATTTGGTCAAAATATCTACATTTTAGGAAACCTTGGTTATTGTTTTTTTCACCCGAAAAGTTATAGCTCTGGGAATTAAAATGTTCTCCGTCAGTAAAATAAAATGTTACAGCATGTAAGCGAGTTCAATTTTATGCAAATCACAAGGTTGTTCTTTGGAAGTCAACGGTTTAAAACAGAAAACAATGACTCACCGTTACTTACGTTCCTTCTACTGCTATAGAAACGATGTTAACTCCCCAGTGTCCTTGTGAGCTGTTCTGTAAAATATTTCCAGTACAACAGCGAGCATAAACGGCCATAAAATTCTACAAGGTCGACAATGTTTATATTTGAGATGAGTGGCACACACAATCCTGGTTGTTTTCATCGTCTTGCTCAGTCGAGAGTCCTTTAAAAATATGGTAGAATATACGCTTCAAACCGTGGTAAATTTGTTTCTCATATCCATATGCCTCATGTCGACTCATGAGAAAATAACTCAGTCCCCGTGCACTGAATAAACAACTTGAATGACCTTTGAGGTCAGGAGGTCACTTGATATGTTGTTATGTTACTTTTTCCCCGTTTCACATTACACGCGTAACGCCGTACTGCACATCACGGCATTTGGTTGAATTACGGTATTCAAAATCTCTTTAAAGACATTTCGATTTAAAAAGAAAATTGAAAAAGCAACATTTTGACATAATTGTTAGCTTCATGCATGATACCCTGACATAATTTCAACACTGGATTGATCTCTTTGATGTCGACGTGATTCATAGTTTTGCGCTTAGTAACATTTGGCACACATCTAAACGTGCGCAAAGATAAATACTCAAAAGTAAGAAACCGTTTATCTGCTGGAAAAGCTGGACCGCCGAAGATAATAATGTTTTAAATTCTGCACATTATTTTTTCAAGTAACGCAAGCTATCTGCTTTCAGTAACGCTTCGTGTCGCTTAGCAAAAGTGACAAACTTACTCTATGTAAATAAAGGCTTAGTTGGAGAAGAGCTACGCGTTATTAGCTATGCAAGCCGAAGCCTGTCAGATACAGAACGTCGATATTCTCAGACCGAGAAAGAAGCTTTAGCGATAGTGTGGTCCTGCGAAAGATTTCACATGTATTTGTATGGTGCTGACTTTGAATTAATGACTGACCACAAACCTCTGGAATGCATTTTCTCACCCACATCGAAGACCTGCGCTAGGATTGAGAGATGGCTCCTCATGATGCAGCCCTATAGATTTACAGTGGAATACTTTCCAGGGCCCAAGAACATTGCAGATTCTTAATTACGTCTCCTGCGTCCAGTGCCACAGTCAAGAGACGAGAACGAAACAGAAGAATATGTGAAGTGGGTAGCTCAAGAATCAATGCCTGTTGCCTTGACAACTCGTGAAATTGAGAGAGCATCTGCACATGACCCAGAGCTGAAAAGTGTACGAGAATGTCTTTTAAATGGGAAATGGCATGCTATAGAATTCAAGGAGTACCTGCCAGTGCGAGGTGAATTAAGTGCAATTGGAAAGCTTGTTCTTCGTGGACCTCGAATTGTATTACCAAAGCAACTTCGCTGTCAAGCACTGAAGTTGGCGCATGAAGGTTATCCTGGAATTGTGACAATGGAGCGACGCTTGCGCACCAAAGTGTGGTGGCCAGGCATTGACAAAGAGGCGGAAAGAGTTTGTAAGACCTGTCATGGCTGTCAGTTAGTTTCACAACCGCTTAAACCAGAGCCGATAGTACGTACAGAGTTGCCTTCTGCACCATGACAACATCTAGCGGCTGACTTATTGGGTCCACTGCCTTCCGGGGATTATGTCTTTGCCGTGGTGGACTATTACAGTCGATTCTTTGAAATGGAATTCACCAAATCTACTACATCTGAGAAGACTGTGTCAATGCTGTCCAGGATTTTCGTCACTCTTGGTCTTCCTTTGTCCCTCAGGACGGGCAATGGGTCGCAGT